ACATAATATACAAAAAACGCACTTTGGGTCAGATGTACTTGACCTGTATAAATACATCGCACTACTTGTCATGATAAGTAAGATACAGTGGAAGTGATGGTACATATGCCAGTTTTGGCTATTCACGATCCGTGTTGGCAGTTTGCCGTGCCTAATTAAATATTTTAAAGAATTTTCGATTGAGAATTTAATAAAGAGAAATTTCAGGAGCTGGGGGGAAAAGTACGCAAGATAAAAATTGAGAAAGAATAAGGAGAGAATGAAAATAATTATAAAAAGAAATTATTCGGTGGAAATCACTCATAAAGATTTAAAATTATAGCCTACGACTTACTTCGTCAAGAATAGACAGAGCCATTTCAAGTAAATTATTTATAAATTATTTTCTAGTACAAAAGTAAATAAAACATAAATCAATAAACTTTTTTTTCAGGGATTACTCAACCGAATTAAAATGCGTCGTACATGGTATTTTCAAACTTAATCATATTCGATATCTTAAATTCCCGTTAAAACAGGTTCGGACTGCTCTCCTCTAATAGAGAAATAAAGTGTATAGTTAAGGTGCTCTTAATTTTCGTTGTAGCATACGAGGCATTTTGAGTTACATAACATAGGGCTTTGGTCGGTGTATGTATAGATAAAACTTTCACCAACATTCCGTATGAGTCATGAATATTAAGCCGACATCCTGTGCACGTTTGAAAAATGTTAGCCTTTGTCCAGCGATGACAATGGACGCGCAGCAAGCTGTGCTCAACGGACACTTGGCTTCATTTACTTATTAGCTCTATTGATATGTTGAACTAATAACTTTTTATTAGTTGAACTTATAATATACTGATTACTTCTATTGATATGTTGAACTAATAACTTTTTATTAGTTGAACTTATAATATACTGATTTCTTCTACTTATATATTGAACTAATAACAAATGTTATTAGTTGAACTAATAATTACTGATTATTACTACTTATATGTTGAACTAAAAACAAATGTTATTAGTTGAACTAATAATTACTGATTATTACTACTTATATGTTGAACTAATAACAAATGTTAATAGTTGAACTTATAATATACTGATTTCTTCTACTTATATGCTGAACTACTAAAAAATTTTATTAGTTGAACTAATAATTTACTGTTTATTACTGCTTATATGTTAAACTAATAACAAATGTTAATAGTTGAACTTATAATATACTGAGTACTACAACTTATATGTTTAGTTAATAACAACTGTTATTAGTTGAACTTATAATATACTGATTACTGCTATTGATGTGTGTAACTAATAATGACGAATAATAATGTACTACTACTTATATGTCGAATTAGTGACATATGATATTAGCTTTACTTATATGTTGAACATAGACGAAGTTTTATAAAATCTGAGACTCCGATTTACTTTAAAACGTGAAAATATTTTTGATTTCGATGCGCAAGATATAGATCGACTTCCTTAATTTAATTACTGAGATTTTTTGTTTGTCTTTATTAAATTAACGAGATTCTAAGTCACTCTAAATTACTCACTGAGATTTTAATTATTTAATTTTATTGTCTTACTAAGATTTTTAATAATACTTCAATTTACTTTCTAAGACTTTGAAATTGTGCAAAACCCGAAAAATAAACCAATTGTTTTTACAGCTTTATAAAACTTTAACTGCGTTTGTGAAGGTAAAATTTAATTTTCCCTTACAGATCGCTAGATCAATTTTTGCCAATGTATTAAAAAAAAACATAAGAAAAAGTCAAATCTGCAATGCGTGACAGCCCAAATATCAGGCCATTTTAGGTCTTTTTTGGCTATTTTCTGAAATTTTAATATTACATTTGCAATATATTGCAATATTATTCATTGCAATAGTAATATTCTACCATACATACTATTGCAATGAATAATATTGCAATATTATTCATTGCAAAAGTATGTATGTGTTGACATCATACGTGAAATGTTCTCTCATCCACATTCACAGCCATACATTTTTCTGTCAGTGGCGGAAAACATCAAAAAATAAGCGAACAAGCTTATCAGAAGCATGGCCTTCAGCTCCGTACAAAACTGGCAGTTTGTAAAATTTAATGAAATTAAGTTTCCCTGTCCTACCCTGCATGTAAATCCCAATTCGTTTAACCAAATCTCCATCATGATTGCAATGACAAATAATTCTCAATACTTACTTTTCGAAACTAAGTGAGTATTGAAATTACTAATCTGCGACTAAAACTAATTCATTCGAATGCACAGTATAGGTTGAAACGCACTTGAAAACGAGGCTCATTTTGCAGGCGAAACAAAACTGCATGAACAATTAACTAAAGAATAATTTAAACTGGGCCGCCACTAAAGGTGAGTGTATTAGCACCGGGTGATGTTAAATGGTAAAATAGATTTAATATAAGATGATAATAATAATAAAATACGAGACACATGACGTTTATATCAAAGTTCCAAAAATTCGATGGCATTCTACGATAGTTATATTTTTTACGCTTTGATAATAGATCAAAGACTTTAGAATATGTTAAGCATTTTTCAAATAAAAAAATTCTTATAGTGAGTAAAATAGATATGAACGAGTTTTAAAGGTACAATGAATATAGGTTTTTATATAATTACAACCGAAGAAAATACGCCACCTAACACTCAATAATCTCCTTTCAGAAACAAACATTATTATAACATAATAGTTGGATGTAGGTTGCTTTACTAGAGGTTGAAATAAGTAAACTAGAATAAGAAAGATGCTATTATAAATATATTAATTTAACGCTTTGTGTGGATCTCTTTTTGTTGATTAATAAAGACTGAGAGTAAGTACAATGGTAGCTTCTACACATTGAAAATACTTAGATGATAAAATAAAGCTTACTTAAATTGAATAGACCATTCAATTCTATACAACAGGGTTAAAATAATTTAGTTCAAAAGTGCAAAATTCAACACTTCAAAATTCAACTGCAATTCAGGGTTCATTATCGGCGTCGATGCATGAACTGTCCTCTCAATGCAAATCTGGATAACCTTATGGATTTTATCTTTAAAAAAGTCATTAAAATTATATTAATATAATTTTTACTTATCACAAATAAAATCAAGGTGACACTTGGCCGTGTCGAGGTGACACTTTTCTTCTCACGTGTTTTGTTGGAATTTTTTCGTCAATTCGTCCACGCTTGGCGCCTTGTGTCTGCCATTTACTCGTATCTTAATGGCTCAATAAACCAGAAAATTTTATACTGCACTTAAATTAGAAATTTCTCATCATGCGCTGAATCAAACATCATTTAGTAATAATATAGTATTCCTTAATCGTAATAGATAATTATTTAATTAGAAATTTCTCATCGTGGATTGAATCAAATAAAATTTAGTAATATTATAGTATTCCTTAATCGTAATAGATAATTATTTAATTAGAAATTTCTCATCGTGGATTGAATCAAATAAAATTTAGTAATATTATAGTATTCCTTAATCGTAAATCCTAATTAATTAATTAGAAAGTTCTTATCATGGGTTAAATCAAACAACATTCAGTAATATTATGATGTTCCTTAATCTTAATAGATAATTAATTAATATAAATGAATATATAGATAACTAATTAATTACACATATCTCATAATGGGTTGAATCGAACAACATTCAGTAATATTATAATATTCATTAAATGCAATCGATAATTAATTAATTAGACATTTTTCATCATGGGCTGAATCAAACAACATTTAGTAATATTATAATATTCCTTAATCGTAATTGATAATTAAGTAACATAAGTAACAAAAATAATTAAATCGGTATTTAATTAATTAGACATTTCGCATTCATGAGTTATAGCAAACAACATTCGGTGATTTTATAATATTCCCTGATTTAGAAATTTATTCTGTATTTTCTTGTTTCAGAATTTTATGGATCACAGTACAATGATGCAGCGTCAATTATACAGTTTAATTCAATACAGTGGCAAAAATTGCATGTTTATAATAAGAAGAGCCGTCATGAATATATAAGAAAATGAAGAATCATTTAATCACAAAAGTTAACCAGTTTGAGTAATTATGTCGTTTAGATGTCACTTTTAACTTTATTCGTCGGACGGATGACATTTTCACGCGATAAAGCTTCTCAAAATAAATGAAATTTTGATTGAAGATGCGATGAATATAAATAGATGGAAATGTACTCCCAAATCTCCAAAATATTAATATAAATAATTATATTCGTTTACAATTTAGAATGCATTGAAACCAGACGACGCCTACACGATGAGGAAGAGAATTTTACTCAGGTCAATAGTGAGTAAATCGTGGGCATGAGGCGGCGGTGAGTAAATCGTGGGCATGAGGCGGCGGTGAGTAAATCGTGGGCATGAGGCGGTGGTGAGTAAATCGTGGGCATGAGGCGGTGGTGAGTAAATCGTGGGCATGAGGCGGTGGTGAGTAAATCGTGGGCATGAGGCGGTGGTGAGTAAATCGCATGTATGGGTCGATCGTTGAAAAATCACTCATGAATTTAAATCGTACCCGAATAACAATTCATTAGTGCTATTAAGTTAATAAATAATATATAATATAATAATAATAAAATAAAATACAATTGTATAAATTTAATAGTATATAATATATAATAATAATATAATTAAATATATGCAGTTATTTTTAACTACGGTGAACTTTAAATAAAGTTAACTTTAACGTACTCGTAATAAATGCATCGGGGTCACTAATTGGAAGATACCAATATATGTAACAAATAAATTTCATTTCCTAATTCATTTATTTACTTTTATTTAAATTAGTTCCTATGAAATTCAACCCTGTACAAAACTAGCACAAAACTTTAAAATTCTAAATCCTGGACTCGAATGGCCGGCTAACTTATTGAGCCATTTATACAACCAGTAAAATGTCGCATGTAAATAAATTGTGGACAAAACAGGGGCACGGCAGGAGTATATAAAGGCGAGCACTCGGCACTGACACGCACTTCACCCCCAGAGGTCAACCGTGTCGCACGCGCCCACCTGCGCTCCATAAGGTCATCTCGCTTCCAACTCACTTCCAAGCCCGCAACATGAAAGTGGTATGCAGAACTTACGTATTTAGACATTTATTTTACTTTACATTTTCTGGGGAATAAGGACATGAATTGAGTCATGTTTAAAAATTTATCAACCGTGTTATGTGAAAAATAAAAGTTTATTATAGCGCTGTGACACTTCCAAGTCACTTCCAAGCCCTCAACATGAAAGTGGTGTGCAGAACTAAAGCATTTAAATTGTTTATATTTTCTGGAGAAAACAGACATGAATTGAGTTATTTTAGATTTTTTTTTTACGCATTTAGACATTTATTTTACTTGAGATTTTCTGGGAATTAGGACATGAATTGAGTTATGTTTAGAATTTTTTTAACCTTGTTATGTGAAGAATTGAAGTTTATTAGAGCATTGTGAATGATGAATTACTCGAACTGGGTTATTAACAATTTATATTGGCTTTATAACATAATAGGAGTACGATAGATTTATGTTATAATGCGGTATGGCAATTATTTCACAGCTGTGGTTAATTTTTCGTTATTTTTTATAAATTTATTATTTATTGTTCATTTACATCTACTTATTTTTTATTATTTATTTTATTTATATATATAATTATTAAAGTGGCTTATTTACTGTATCTATGCTATCTAAATGACAAATGAATATTTATATTACAGACTATCTTAAAAATTAAACTATTATTAGTTTCGCTTTTTTATGTTCATTATATTATTCAAGATCTATGTAATTCTATGCATATTTATCACTTAATTTATTTAATTTAACTCTCGCCTTCAATAAATAATTGAAATAACTTCATAGGTGTGCTATATAAAATTTCATATTTAAATTCTATTTCGACCTTTCTTTAAAAAAAGTTCAGATATATTATTTTTTTTTCAAAATACCTCATATATTTCATATACATAAATATTTTTCACTAATTTTTTATATACCTAATTACATGTTTTTCACGTTTAATTACTCTAGTTTAAACCCTTCAGAAGTTTATTCTATTATTTTAATTAATGTACGTAAATAAAGTTGGTTAGGTTCAGGATGGCACACCTAGACGTTCAGGATAGCTCACCTAGGCGTTCAGGATAGCTCACCTAGGCGTTCTGGATAGCACACCTAGACGTTCAGGATAGCACACCTAGGCGTTCAGGATAGCTCACCTAGGCGTTCAGGATAGCACACCTAGACGTTCAGGATAGCTCACCTAGGCGTTCAGTGCGTTCAGGATAGCACGCCTAGGCGTTCAGGATAGCACGCCTAGGCGTTCAGGATAGCACACCTAGGCGTTCAGGATAGCACACCTAGGCGTTCAGGATAGCACACCTAGGCGTTCAGGATAGCACACTTAGACGTTCAGGATAGCACACCTAGACGTTCAGGATACCCCACCTAGACGTTCAGGATAGCACACCTAGACGTTCAGGATAGCTTACCTAGACGTTCTGAATCCTCTACCACCGTGGACATTAGTATTTAATTTTCAGTCGTAAAAAATGAACCATTCTTATTATATCCGACCACTTTTTCCTGAAATTCCTAATATGGTTATTTGCATTTATATAATTATAATCGAGATAATATTTTATTAGTTTTAAACAGGATGAAAATAATTTTCATCGTAATTATTTTCATTCATTTTTTCGATACCGTAAGTTTCCTATAACATACGCATGAATCATAGAAACTTGCTGAATTTATTGTCTTTACTAACTTATAATAATTCATAATTAATATAGCTTTTATACAGCATTGCTTTCATTATTTCAATGCTCGGGGAAGTCATAACTGCTTGACTTAAAATCTATTTACTTAATATGTTTATTTCTGTACCATTTTTATGTAATTGTCTTATCGATGAATGTGATCAACTTTGTATTAAACTGTGATAAACTATGCAATAAACTAAACTGTCATAAACTATGCAATGAACTGTGATAAACTTTGTGATAAACTGTTATAAAATTTGCGATAAACTGTGATATACTTTTTTTGATAAACTGTGATAAACTATGCGATAAACTGTGATAAACTTTGGGAGAAAATGTGATAAACTTTGAGATAAACTATGATAAACTATGCGATAAACTGTGATAGACTTTTTGATAAAATGTCATCAACTTTGGAATAAACTGTAAAAAACTTTGGGGTAAAATGTGATAAACTTTGGGATAAACTGTGATAAACTTTGATATGAACTGTAATAAACTATGTGGTAAATTGCGATAAACTTTGCTATGAACTGAACTGTTATAAACAATGCGATGCGATAAACTGTGATAAACTTTGGGATAAACTGTGATAAACTTCGGGATAAACTGAGATGAACTTTGGGATAAACTGTGATAAACTTTGGGATAAAATGTGATAAACTTTGGGATAAACTGCGATAAACTTTGGGATAAACTGTAATAAACTTCGGGATAAACCGAGATAAACTGTCGGATAAACTCTGATAAACTTTGGGATAAACTGAGATAAACTTCAGGATAAACTGTGATAAACTATGATAAGCTTTGGGATAAACTGTGATAAACTTTGGGATAAAATGTAATAAACTCTGGGATAAAATGTAATAAACTCTGGGATAAAATGTAATAGACTCTGGGATAAACTATGATTTACTTCGGGATAAACTGCGACAAACTGTGGTCATTTTTTAAATAAAACGTAATAAACTTGAACGTATTTCCATCCCGCAGTTTGTGCTGACAGTCCTCGTTGCGGTGGCCGCGGCTCGTCCGGACAAGCGGACGAGTGAAGAAGTCGTGCCGATCCTCCGCGACGACCGCGTCGAGTTTGCGGACGGGGCCTACAGCTTCGATGTCGAGACCGGAGATGGCATCCGCCGGTCCGAGGCCGGACAGAGTCAGGGCGATGCCGGGGCCGTTAACATGGCCGGAGATTATGCGTGAGTCCGTTAACATGGCCGGAGACTATGCGTGAGTCCGTTAACATGGCCGGAGACTATGCGTGAGTCCGTTAACATGGCCGGAGACTATGCGTGAGTCCGTTAACATGGCCGGAGATTATGCGTGAGTCCGGATTAATAATTTGGCCAGAGACTATAATAACGGCTGCTAATAACCGAATAATATGGCGGGACTCAAGCGTTAACATGGCCGGAGATTATGCGCTAGTATAGAAAGAAAATTAATGTTGCCATTTTTGCTCACAGAGACAAAAAATTTCCAATTTTCACTTTAGGAAAGAAAATTTTCCAGTTACACGATGAGAGCATAAAAAGTGAGATACATGATAGGTTTACAAAACCGATATTTACGACAGTATGCAGGTAGTACATATTAACTTGTTATTATTTAACAAGCATTATTATTCTCATTAAATAATAATAGCATTATTCCGAGTCAAACTCAAGAAAGGCATCTCAATATTCACTATCCGCCTAACTTAATAATTGAGCACAGTTTCACCATGTTTCTACAATATTTCATACAGGATATGTTACAATAATTAAGTAGTCGGATGATGAAATATTCATTAATTATACTTCATTGAAAACAATTCTATCGATAAAAGAGATGCAGCCATAATTTTCCTTACTTCTTTTCAGGCAATGCAGTTTAATATTCAGTCATGCTAATATATTCGTTCGCTGATCAAAAATAATCCTATTTCAGTAAATAATAATTCGCTTTATGATTCTATGATTTTAAAGATCACATGTATGAATATTATATTCCACTAATTTAAAACGTCATTCATTATTATTTCGGATGTCTTTCACTTAATACATCCGCGAATCATGAATTCATAAAAGATTTTGCATTCCAGATTCACGTTCCCCGATGGTCAGGAATTCTACCTGAAATTCGTCGCTGACGAGTCAGGGTACAAACCGGAATCCCCATTCCTTCCCGTGGCCCCCGCGTTCCCCCACCCCATCCCCCAGTTCGTCCTGGACCAAATCGCGTTCGCTGCAAAGGAGGATGCAAACAGGGAGCTTGACCAAGCAAGGGGAGACTATGTTGGATATGATTAAATTAAAAACAAAATAATTCATTACAATTTGTGTGAAATAGTTCAATTTATTAATTAAATCGATGGTTAAAATACTCCATATGATTATATGTATTAAAACTGTTGATTAAGTCTAATTGATGATTGAGGCGAAGCATGAAAATCGGATATGTGAGATTTTTGTGTGGTCCGCATTAAAATTAGGATCAACTTAATATGACGGATTCAATAATATATAATAATTTAACTATTTATTTATGACATATTTGCACATCATGATGATGTAGCGAGCACAAGAAATAATAAAAAGTGTATAGCCAAATTGGGAAGAAATCAGACGTTGGTCGGTGCGTGAATGTAACACGAATAACGAATGAAATGACGGAGAAAGTGACGAACGAAAGTGAAACGAATAAAAACGTATACGAAGGCTGAACGAATACAGGACGATATTTAATATTATTATGAATGGATAATTTGAATAAATATATTTCTGAATACTTGAGACTCATTATCATTGAAAAATTAAATGTTCAGTGGGCAGCAAACGCCAAAAATTTAGTTTCGAAATCAAGATTAAAAAATTTTTCAAAATTCGCCTTCATTCCTGAGTTATATGAATATACGTGGTGAAAATTGCAGTGAGCGTGACATTTCTTCTAAAGTACTGTACAGATTTGAATTAAATTTTGAATATAAATTTCTCAATACCCGACGGTGATGTTTAGCTCATGATATTTTTTTCAGTATTTTGCGAGATATTCCACGCTCACTGAATTTGGAATCACGGCCGCGAGACCGGCCGTGAGAGAGGCCGCGTTTTTGTCCGAGACGTGAAATATATTACAAATTTTGGCAGGAAATACGTAAATAATTTACAGATTCTACTACGGGAAGTGTTCTCAATGGAACACAGTTTATGATAAAAATTTGTTTGAACCGTCCTCACCTACATTTGCTCTTCATTTTATTCATAATTTGTAGCAGGGATTACGTCAATATATCGGCAGCGAGATCGGAAATAAAATAAGTGGGTTAGGCATGAAAACAAACAATTTTCTGTGTTATGTAGAAAATGATGTCCGATGCAATTTTTGATGGTAAACTTGCGTATTGCATTACATGTGCGTGATAATGCGTACATAATACGGAATTGTTCTGTTCAATCTTAAAAGCATGGATCGTTACATGCAATAATTCGACATACTTTAAATATGCACCGATTCAACAAATTTTCAAAACCTAAAGAGGTAGATTTTATTTTGATGATTTTTCAATTACAAACAATAGTTTTTAACCTAAGTCTAACAGTCTAACTGCTTTATTGCGCAATGTAATATCATTACTATACAATATTATTAATAATAAACAATACTTTATATTATATATAATGTACTCAGCTTAGGTCCAATTGTGACCATGCATTGCAATAACAATTAAATGACAAAATCCTATACATATTACAGTTAATACTTAATATACAGAAGTCACATAAGCGGCAGAGAAAAATTAATTACTAAAGCTGGACGGGAATGCAGCCTTAGACAACTTGAGTACTTTCACATCTGCTTTAGAGCCGGAAATGTCTGATGGAATTTAAGGTCGCTGTCCTTAATAGTAACGCAATGCTGTAGAAATATTTAATAGTAACGATCGATCATGTCTGACCGAGCGTTTTGCTCATGTTCGAAATGTTTTTAAAATTATTTTTATGAACGTTTCTCATATTTGATGGTGTTAAAAGATTTTTGTACAATGTGCCTGAGTATATATTGCACTATTCTGTATACTATCAGTCATGGGGCTTTAATTCATATATCCGTTAAAATGGAGTTAGAGGGTATAGTGAAATACGTTTGTGGAAGCAATTGTTTTGTAACAACATCACTGAGCGTAAATCTATAGGCGTCGGCAAAAGCTTCTCAGAATGACACTCATCACAATTTGTCACATGGGCCACCACATTTCTCCTTATTTGCTAATTTAGGAGTCGGGCGTATTCGCGTAGATTTGATGAAGTATATGAGATAGTTGTAATTTTTATTCGTTAGCATCATGTTGGCATCTGTTCGAATATCCTTAGCCTTGTCAAGGCTGGTACAATCACTCGCTTCTATCGTATGGTGGATGACGCTGTAGAATATCATGTAGAAGGGCTGAATATAATGTAAAATATTCAATCCAATACCAAAAACATTCAGTATAATGTCCAATATCCATCGTCTCGTCATGTCTGATACCATCTTGGACCTTTATCGCTAGGTTATAAGCGTCGTTGAACACCTCGTCTATCTTTCTATCTATGGTTGCAAGAAGATCCAAAATACCTTGCCAAGCTATCCAATATGTTAGCCATGAAAATAAATGTGGTTGTACCACTCGTAAATTAATGTGGTTGTCCCGCTCGTAAATTAATGTGATTGTTCCACTCGTAAATTAATGTAATTATTCCACTCGATCGTAAATTAATGTGATTGTCCAACTCGTAAAATAATTTGGTGTTCCCACACGTAAATTAATCTGGTTGTCCCACACGTAAATTAATGTGATTATCCCTCTACATTAATGTGGGACAACCACATTTTACATTACCCACAACATCACCAAAAATTCAAAAGCAAAGAAAGTTCTAAAAAATCCACCATATCTTCAAAGAAAACATAGAATCGGAAAATTACTGCGTTTTCATTAAAGGAAAAGTGAATTTACTTAGCGTTTTAGTTGCTTCAAACTTCTTAGTGATCGTGTGATTGAATGAATCTAATAATGTAAGTACAAAGATGGTATAGTGCTTAGGTTGTTATGATATTCTGGCAATACTTGGGTTGCTTATTCGTAGTGCAAGGAACTAAACGATGCTCAGCAAGTGCACTTTTATAAGTCGTGTCCATTCTAATGCCTTGTCTGTCTTGGAATAAAGTATCGAATTTTCAAGAAAATTATTTTATCTCGCTAAAGCCAAATCATAATATTGACATTATATGAGGTGTGAAAGGAATGGTTTCATCGTAAAGCGTGTGTATTTTCAGTTGTCATCTTGAGGCAGATTCTATTTCTTCAGTCAATTGATAACCCACACGGGCTAAACATCACCGTTAGGTCCTGAAAAATACATATGTAAAATTTCATTTAAATTAATGTAGTTAATTTATAATTAAAATAATTAAAATATATATTAAATCTATCAATTACTACCCAGAGATAAGTAGTTAACAACCTTATATGAACAATTTCATACAGTATATTGCAGTTCACAAGAATGTCTAGAATTTCTTACCCCTGACATAATGGCCATGGATCATGGATCAACAGAACGTTGAAGTCTCCGTAGATCATTATCAACAAGACATTGAAGTCTCTATTCATGGATCAAAGCCAACAGTACCTTGAAGTGTCCATGTATCATTATCAACAGGACGTTGAAGTCTTCTTGGATCATTACAAATAGCACGTTGAAGTCTCCATGTATCATTATCAACAGGACGTTGAAGTCTTCTTGGATCATTACAAATAGCACGTTGAAGTCTCCATGTATCATTATCAACAAGAATTTGAAGTCTGCATGGATCGTTATCAACAGGAAGTTGAAGTCTGCATGGATCGTTTTCAACAGGAAGTTGAAGTCTGCATGGATCATTACCAACAGGACGTTGAAGTCTCCGTAGATCATTGAAGTCTCCATGTATCATTTTCAACATGACGTTAAAATCTGCATAGATAATCGCTAACAGAAAGTTGCATTGCCTAATTGATTAATAGAATTAAAAATTGTACCAGGAACATATTGTGAGGTATGTATGCACGTCTCCACTGCACTATTTTTAATACTATCATAACCATTATATGTAATCGGTATGATTAAGAACATCATACCCATTTCATAAAATTGGTGCGATGTCTCGGCTAAAGAATTAGTCTAATATGTAACTTTCAGTACGCAGAGGTAAATTTGATTTTCATACGTTCAGCAGTAGTGGTTAAAGTTCAGAGTACCCAGTGGTTAAAGTTCAGAGTACCAAGATTGGCGCAGAGAGGCGCGGGTTCCATCCCAGCTCTGTGCGTCAGTTTCTGGTCAGAATCGGCAAGGAGGCCGGGTGGTTAAGCACAGCAGAATTGTAGCAGTGAGTTGCGAGTTCGAGACCGCAAAATGCTGTGAATCGATATTCAACTACAGTCTAGTAATACAAAATAAAAGTCCTGTATAAATGAAACTAGAAATCAAATACAGCTTGTGTTAATGTTTGTTCAGATCGTTTATAAACTGGCCGTCCTTGATCGTTAAATTTTAACGTTTAATCACTTAGCAAGGTCAGGTCATGGCACGTGTAGGTTCTACATTTCATATGCACGACGTTTTATAAATTGCGTGCTTTTATTATTTTATAATAAATTTTATAAGTAAATATATTATGAATTAATAAATTAAATAAATAATTTAAAATATTAAATTTAATATTTATTTATAAATTGCGTAATTTTATTGTTAGGCTGTGAATTATCACTTCTTAATAAGATTTGTGTGATTTGTGGTATAGAATTCATTGTAATACATTATTTATTTATTTAAACATAAAAATATGTCTATGCGAATTCGCGACAAAATAATTTTGCTGTATATCACATACGTTTTTTAAATAATTTATTTTCGTATTCACAACTAACTTATTGTAAAATTTGTGGCTCATGTTTTAATTTATCAATTATTAACGTCTGTTCGTCTTCTTTTATTTTATTATTCTCATAGAGAAAAATTAGAGCAATAATATATGAGCGCTGAAAATGGCCCAATTAGTAATTACTATTATTATTATATAGTTATTTTATTATTATATTTTATTAATAATATTAATTATATTATTATAATTATATTACTGATTAGACAATTATCGCATCGTTGCTTATTATTAGTCTTTTCATCTGCCTGATACATTCGTGCATTGATCTTAAGACATTCATTTGTAACTCCTCTGTATGGAAAAACAAGCTCTATACAGAAACCAACGTATGGTCTAACAGGACGTACACAGACACCCATGTATATCCACACAGGATGCACAAAGACTGTCATGTCTGCCATCCTAAAATTCACACAAGCACACCTGTATACTAGTATAGTAAAACAGGACGCACACAGGCACCTCTGTATATGCACACAGAACGCACACAGACACCTTGTATGCACACAGAACGCACACAGACACCCCCTGTATACACACTGGATACACACAGACACCAACAAATCCACACAGGACACACAGAGACTCCTGTATGCGGAAGTGGCTGCATTCGTCCCGACGGGCGCTGCGAGAGGACACAATTGGTATCATGGATACCAGGAGGCAAGATGCCGTGTCAAGGCGAGCCAATTTAATCCGAGCCAATATCTGCGCACGCACGCATGATGGCGGCCAGTCAGCGGCCAATACTGTATAGTCTTTCTAAATTATGTGCTTAATTCTCATACAAGTTGTGGCGGCCAATCAGCTCCCTGATTGTATATAATTTCCTATTTTTGTATAATTCTAATAAAAATCGTTAAGGCCAATCAGTGGCCAATATTGTTTACTCTTTCTAATTTATGTGCATAATTCTAATACATATTGTGGCGGAAAATCAGCTCCCGATAGTATACAATTTCTCATTTTTGTATTTAATTCAATCCAAATATTTATTTTTATTCAATTTTTAATTTTTTGCAGCCAATCTGAGGATAAATAGAAACTTTTTCTAATTTATGTTAATGTTTTAAGAAAGAATTATTGCCACAAACCGGTAGATCATTTAATTATTTTCTAATTAATTTGACGAATTACCCGAAAAAAAATGTATTATAAAATCCTCAGACATCATGTAATTTTTCTAAATTATGTGTTCAACATAAGAACAAAACAACATAAGAACATTGTACTTATAAATATGATGTATTCAACATAAGAACAATGTGCTTACGCGGCCAATTTCTAATAGATAGCCACGCGTCAGGATCAGATAATGGAAATTTGACCTTCAAAAAGTTGGCAAAATCAGAATATGAGATTATAGATTTTTAGTAGAGATTTTTTTAATCTTTTATAAGAGATTTAATTATTTGCAGTTGAAAATAAAATAAAATAGTTACAATTGGAAAAATGACGTTTATTTCTGTAATGCAAATTAAAATTTTAACCCTGGCGAAATTTTACTCAAAATAAGTTACTAAAAAATTACTAATTATTCAGCAAAATGGATTTGTAAGGCATGGACATTATAGATTTTTTCTATGAATATTTTGAAGCAATCAGCAAATTTTTCTAGTAATAATAAACTTGAAGTTTGAAGCCAGCTGAACAACTTTAATTTGATGACATATAAACCAGTTTGATAGTTTCGTTAAATTAATTTTATGAAAACATTTGAAAATTTATTCTTTCAAACATTCATCATAAAGATCCTTAATAAAATTCGATTGATGATCCTGAATAAAAATCATCCACAAATTTGATATTCTTTAAGTAATATATCCGCCCTGTGAAGTGACAGGGTAAAGCTGGAGGTGATGACGTCATCGGCAGGTCTCGTATATAAGGCGGCGGCTGAGCAGGTGACCCTCAGACTGTCGTAAGACGAGCTCAGGAACTGACGTCGTGGTGCTCCAGGTCAATACTCCACTACAATGAAATTCGTGAGTGTGATCAATTAATTATTCGTCACAATTTAAATTAATTTTCATTGGTAGATAGAATTGTTTTCTTACAGCCAAAAATGCAATAATTGAAAAATTTATTTCTTTGCGAATATATTTTCACTATTTTCTATATGCATTTGCGAAAAAATAGTGCTATTTTTTCTAGTGCTATATAGCTTTATATACTAGTGCTATATATATAGCACTATATATAGCACAATATAATAGCGCTAAATAAAATATAATAGTGCTATTTTCACTATTTGCCATGTGACTCTGGAATTCTTTGTTACACGTAATCTGTACGTTATGGAAGAAAAAACGTTGATGTTGCAACGTAACTTTCATCTCAGTACCAAGAAGCATTGCGACGTTGCAGCCTTCGTTGGTGCATTGCCAGTGTCTTGATTGTACCTACCCATTTTAGGTCACTCGAATTAGCGGCTGATGGGAGCGATTTGCTATACATTTGCCATACACGGTACAGCGCATTGCAATTGATATATTTGAATGATTAACAAAATACATTTTTATCCTATTAAACATTTCCCATTAAACATTAAATATGTTTACATTACATTAAGTAAAATCCTTTAAACTAGGATAAAATGCACAAATAAAAAATATATATATGTCTCATAAAACATTTACTAAATCAAATCCCTTAAAATAGGCAAGTGTACATGCTAGTGTGTAGGTACATGTATGTGTAGGTATGTATAGGCAAGTGTACATGCTAGTGTGTAGGTACATGTATGTGTAGGTATGTATAGGCAAGTGTACATGCTAGTGTGTAGGTACATGTTTGTGTAGGTATGTATAGGCAAGTGTACATGCTAGTGTGTAGATACATGTATGTGTAGGTATGTGTAGGTATGTGTAGGCAAGTGTGGCATCACACAAACATGTGTGTGTGTGAAAGTGAAAGTTGTTCACCCACTTTATTTTGCCCTGGCAGTGTAGGCATCATCGCTCGCCAGTGCCATTCATTTTGTCATGACCAAGAAAATAAAATATTTTAATAAAATCGACGCATAAAAAATCCTTTTTAATCATAAAAATCTGTGTAAAAAATATTTATAATAATAGAATTTTTTATCTGGTGGACATGCCAGAGACATTGTCACGATGTTAATAAAAAATTCAATGTATTTTTTTCCAGAATTTAATCAGATAGGAAATGAGTTCGAGTTTTTACAATTCATTCATTTTCATATATTATCAATAACTTAACGATTCTGTGATGAATGAAATAAAAAAATTTAATGAAGTTCTCCATGTGTGCTTAATTAAACTGAGCTGTGTATAAAGAATTTCTGCTTATAGATAGATAAATTACACAATAATTTAAAGAAACACTTCATATTTTATTATTGGTCCATTGGACGGATTTTTTGTTAATTCAAATAATGGAACGTAATCAAGCGTCCAATAATGAACGAACGTCTCCATTGGTTATTCATATGCCAATAGTTTATAAATGACGCCATTTTTGACGTTTAAGTACACAAAGAAGAACAAAACTTCTGCAAGATTGGAAACCTTTAATAAGATAATCTGGCTATGCAGATTTTTCTAAAAATAATGATACATTCCTCAAAATTCACAACGAGAAACCATTTATTATATTAAAATATTGAAATATACGCAAAAAAATCATAAATTAATTGCAGGTCATTATGATTTAGTAACATTTATTTACATTAAATTGTTTTAATCACTAAATTTATACATTGATATTCCAATATGCCCATTCAAATGTTCATTTTATCGAGTAAGAATTATACATAGTTAATACGTCTACAAATTGCGCTCTCTTTTAGCAATGTTTAAAGAAATAGTTACATAAATACTTTTTCGGAAATCATTTCCAAGCGGAAGGAATTTCTGGATTACGAATTAGTCCCGAAATATGGGGTAAAATAATTTTATCCGGTCCATTTTTATGGGGTAAAATAATCCTATCCGGTCCCTATTTATGGGGTAAAATAGTTCTATCAGGCCCCTATTTATAGGGTAAAATAATCCTACCCACTCCCTATGAAAATAAAGGCATATATTCAGAATTATGTTAATGGTCGGACCATCTAATCGGTCAGAGACTCAATGAATGATCATCAATATATTCAGTGTTACAGATTATCCTGCAGTGTCAGATGCTGCAGTGTCTGATGCTGCAGTGTCAGATGCAGCAGTGTCAGATGCAGCAGTGTCAGATGCTCACCAGCAGCACCAGCAGCAGCACCAGCAGCAGCAGCAGCAACAAGGTTCCTCCTAAAGCATCACCTTGACCTGCGTTTGAATGGAAGACGTCGCAGCCTGCGACTCCTGAAGAACTTTCCCTGCCTCCATCTACTCCCTCCTATGCTGTTCTTTTGTGTATAACTCAACAATTGATAGCTACTTTTCAATATTCGTAGCACTTTGTACTCCTAATAAGGATTAAGTAATCAACATCCATTAACTAACTCAATTAATGTCATTTTCAGATAATTTTCGTAGCTCTCGTGGCATCGGCCCTTGCCCGAAAGTAATTAAGATCAATTTACTAATTAAAATAATTGTCATTTTCAGATAATTTTCGTAGCTCTCGTGGCATCGGCCCTTGCCCGACCGGACTCCCCACCGAGCTACAGCGCCCCTGGCCAGCGATCTAGCGACGATGTTAAGGATCCCGTCAAGATCCTACGGGACGACCGCGTGCAGCCCGAGGACGGATCCTACGCCTTCGATATCGAGACCGAAGACGGGATCGTGAGGTCCGAGGCCGGACAGAACGAAAACGAGGCCGGCGTAGTGGTCCAGGCCGGTCAAGTGAGGTAAGCAATGAAATTTTTCGATTAAATTTTGAAAAATTGATTGTGTGATTGATTTTGATTAAATTGATTGTGGAAATATTTGAAAAAGTAGTGAGTGAGTTTTTAAACAAATTACAAAACCTCACAAATAAACTCGGTAAAATGGGACTGAGGGAATAATAGAAACATTCTTGAGTGGATAAAAGATGTACATGTAATTATATATTCTATGTTAGCCTAATCATTGACAGGTGGAAGAAGAAAAGAAATGATTATTTTCGTGACCTTATCTCAAATGAGTTTTCTTCAAGTGCCATCACTGTTTACGTTTTTACTTAATGAAAAACCAGTAGAGACACAGTTAAAAAAAAAGTAAAAATATGAACACCTGCTTTGGAAAGCATAAAAACGTGCATATACATTAAAAAATACAGAATTAAATGCATTCATAAAAAACTTATACACACATATTGCAGAGCATAACAATGCAAGCTAATATTTTGCGAACACCCCGGAATTTAACACATGTTTTGAAAAAATATATATTAAATTGTACCAAAAAAAACAAAAACGTAAAAAAGCTCTTTGAACACGTAATTACACACTTTAATATTACCTGCAGCAAATTCATTTCAGAATAGCTTCCGTATACTGAATTAATCAAACCTTGTTTTTTTCCGATTTCGTTGTTTCTTTCGTTCAAAAATGTTCCGGATTTGAACTCATGAATACTTTCCATTAGGTAGTCTGAGTAAGTCTTCAGTTATTTTATATTATCTCGACGATGTTTCCGAAGTCATGAAAAAGTTAATTTCAAATTACTGCAAGCATTGCTAGGTTTTCGAAAATCTCACCTAGCAAAATCAAATTAAGCCGTCAAAAGCCTGCCTGAATCCCAAGCAGGCTCGTAGTCAACTCTTAAGTTGACTCGCATCTCAAGCAGATTCGTATCTTAAGCAGACTCGTATCTTAAGCTGACTCGTATGATCGTATCTTAAGCAGACTCGTATTTTAAGCAGACTCGTATCTTAAGAAAAAATCAGTCGTGATTAGGAAGCCAAAATCATGGTAATAAAAGGATTGAAGCAGTTTGGGCTAGAAAAAATGATAGTTTTCTCAGAAAAAAGTATTATGGGAGACTAAATAAAATGATATGATGATCAATTAAGTAAATAAATAATATTCACTTTAGCACACGATGAGATTGGGGCTTCCATAATGTATTAGTACCCTTTCTCTCCTCCTATTCAAGTGCGAAACTAAAACCAGAATATTAACATAGCTTTGAAAAAATAAGCGTTGTGAAGAGTGTTTTGCTTGAGCACAGACGCATCTTCGACCAACCGCCCGGCGCCCAACGGTCACATTCGCTGTTTAAGAATTGTATTTATTACAGGCAATATATAAAAGAATTTGCCTATTTTTCGTGATTTATACATAGAAGTTTAAATTTAATTCAGTTTTCTTACATTTTATAGAGGGAAATAAAAATAACTTAGCACATTTTCAATTTGTGATGATTGTATACCTAAGTTTTTAATTTTAACGGGAACAATTGATAAATAAATATATTTCTTTATTATTATTATTATTATTATTATTATTATTATTATTATTATTATCATTATTATTATTATTCAAATACCAAAAGTTACATTGATGTTTTTCAAAATAACATTAATTAATATCAATCTATCGTACCAGCTACACACTCCCGGACGGTACTCTGTTCGAGCTCAAGTTCGTCGCGGACGAGAACGGCTACCAACCGCAGTCCGACTTCCTGCCTGTGGCCCCCGCCAACCCGCACCCCATCCCTGACTTTGTCAAGGAGCAGATCGAGCGCGCCGAGCGAGAACGACAGGCCGACCTCAGCAACAGCCAACGTGCTACTTATAACTAACTTATTTATAATTAATAATGAAATTATTTAGTATTGCTCCCTAAATTACTAGTGCTTCGTAAATTATGTATCGGAGTAAATTGTATTACGAAGTATAGGAACTGATCGAGCTCGCCGAGCGAGAGCGTCAAGCCGACCTAAGCAACAGCCAACGGGCTACTTATAACTAAATTATTTATTATTAATTATGGAATTATTTATTATTGCTCCCTAAATTATGTATTGAAGTAAATTATGAAGCGAAAATAAAGAGCAGATTGGGTGCGCCGAGCGAGAGCCAACGGGCAACAACGGGCTACTTATAACTAAATTATTTATTATTAATAATTGAATTATATAGCTGTGCTCCTTAAATTATGTATTGCTGGAAGTTATATTACGAAGTTTAGGAGCAAATCGTGTGTGCCGAGCGAGAGCGTCAGGCCGACTTCAGCAAAAGTCAACGTCCTAAATATAACTGCATATTTTATTAGTAATAACGAAGTTGATCAATTATGATTCAATGTTATTAATAAATTAACTTATTGGCTTTTTGATTAGTGTCTCAGCTACTCTTTTATCGCGCAAATATTTATTGCGGTTGATAGTTCTTTTTTATAATAATTGAATTCTGAAGTTACAATTTTTTTAGTAAATTGCGAACGTTAGAAGATTCGTATATAAGAGTAATTTTTCAATTCCCTGACACTTGTTCCATTCCGTTTCTTTTTTAACAAATTTCCGCGTAATATTTAAGACTTGTCAAAAATTCGGAAGGCAAGTATTTTTTTAATTATTCTGAATTTTTAGTGAATTTCAGTAACTGCATTTGAAGATAGTAATGTTTGTATAACTATTATCGGTTCCAATGACTTACTGAATCGAATGGCCGGAAATGTATTTATTTATATGTCAATGAAAATAATTTATTTATTTAAAGCATGGAGATATTTTCATATGAATTAATACACATGTTCAAACAGTTTCTGAAGTCTTTATTGAAAATAACCCGACATTCATTATATAGGAAATCATGCATGTTGAAATAAATGTTGAAGTTAAGGACCGAAGTACAAACTCAAACTGAAACCTTACTTTAAATATTATTATTGAAGCTTTGGAATTAATAAACGGGATTTTATTGAAATACAGGATATTTTACATTACTTGATTCCTCTTAACTTGCTATTCAGTGTTGAAAATAAATCAACTGATAATGAAATTAAATACATACACAAACTCATCTTTAGTACAACGAAAATATTTGTCTTACTTCCGGTATTAAGTTAAGAAAAAATTAAACACTGAGTTCCAGCGAAATTTATTCACTTCAATTTTATTCACTTATTCAAGTCAATTAAATTAGAAACTAAACCCGAGTCCAAAACTCTGATCATGAATGCCATCTTCAGAGCAATATGGAATTAATACTACTATACTAATATTAGTATTAGTATAGTGTAGTGAATACTAATATGGATATTGTTTTTAAGCAAAAGAACTGAAGCTTAATGAGATAAATATCAAACTTATGTTCCTCTTATAAGTACGAAAGATATACCGAATGAAATATCAAGATCAAACGTATACAGTTCCCGTACAGTTTTAAAAACCTTGATGTGCTTGAATTTTAGAAGGAAATATATTTCTCCAATTCTTTTAAAGGAAATTCTACTCCTGAAGAAAAAGTGTAACAGGAAAAGACAGGGATTAATTTATTTCCAATTATTTTCCTAACAAAACCATTATAATAAAATAAAATAATGTCCGTTACATTGATGAGTTACTTGCAGTGTGTTATCGCTTGTTTTTTCGGAGGCTATAATTCGTTCATAATACTTATTTAAACGAGTATAAACAACTTAGAATTTATAACAAATCAAGTTTAAATAAGGAATATTTTTACTCTTTTGCAGTGAGAATCATTAATAAACAGTGAGATACTGTTGGCATAATCTGAGTAAGTGCGTTATCAATAAAACCATTTTATAAACGGGTAAATAATTATACCAAAATGTAACATATATGTATGTACCATACGGGTATAGATAATACTCGTTTTGATTATTTTATACCCGTTTTGAGTATAAGCTTCTTCAAGCTCGTTGATTATTCCGACTGGGTCTTAAGAACTTGGTTGGCTCGCTGCGTCTTGAAGCTCCGGTACAGTTTCTTCTGTTGCTCTAAAGCCTGCTGTTCTCTCTGCATATTTCGAAATTGCGGAGCGGATTTCATGTTTCCTCCGTAGAAAATTTTGACTCGCTCCTGAATTTTGGATAAATTCTGATTTTCGTCGAATTTATCAAAGTACGGTTTGACCAATACATTGGACTTTTCTGTCACTGTCGCCCACTCGAACGGCAAGTCCACGGGATGGGAAGAAGGTTTGAAGTCTGAGGACTTAAAGATCGTTTTGGGGATTTTATCGTGGACGTACGAAGAGGACTGGAAGGATTGACGTGGAGGTGCGTATGGGTATGAACTTCCTGTGCGTGTAACGTAGGAATCGTAAGAGTATGGACGGATGCGTTGGTATTGTTGTCCTTGTAGATTCGTGTTGTAATTTTTGAAATTAGTAGAGAAATTTGAACGAGGATTCGTATAGTAATCAGCGCCAACATTGTTATTGGGATCAAGATTGTAATTATTGTTATAATTTTGGCGTGGATTAGTGTCATATTTCCATTTATTCGTCGAATAATCAGGCCGAGAACTCGTAGAAAATTCATTCTGTGTTACGTATCGATTAACTCGATCTTCATTTCGTGCGCTGGACGATAATCGACGATCAGGCGTCGATCTTCGTCGATCCTCATTGGACGATACGACAAAATCTTGGTTACTGGATCGCTGACCATTAAAATTTGCAGGGTTTTCTGTGGTTCTTATCTCCAGCGCAAGATTAGAGTTCAGTTCACCAGCAGGAGACTGTTTAGCTTCATCGGCTGGCAAAGCAAATGAAAAACCCAAAAGAAACCAGGCGATCGTAATCACCATGGCAACCGTAGAACGCGCCATGAGAAGGATCTGTTGAATATAAATTATCAGTTAAATAGATGTCAACAGCTTATCACCAGACTTGTGTGAAAGTTTGCAGGATCTTGAGTGTCTGGTATCTGAAGATCCATATAAATATAAACATAAATATAAAAATAAATATAATATATAAATATGAATATAAACATAAATATGAATATAAATATAAATACAAAATATAAATGTATATATAAGTATATCTCTTATCTAAATTGAGGTACATGATTTTGTTAATGTTGCGTAACGTTACACTTCTGAAATTACACCTCATCAAATTAAGTTATTTGTCAGAATTATATTTTTTCAGTAGTTAACTCACTCTTGGCAAATAACTAACAGGGGTTCTGAAGGATAGGGTCCTGAGGGATGCGTTAAAAATGCTTAAAAGCCACTCTGTAAAATTAAAATGCAGTTTATTCATAGAAAAAATTCATTCTATTGTAATACATGTTATTATTATCATAATTCTATTAAAATGTTATTAGTATCACTATTCTTTGAATGTTCTTTTTAAAAATCATATTGGTTGAATAACTCATTTGCGTCTGATTTTTTTTTGTATAAACTTCTGCTAATCAATTGCAACGTTAAACAACTTTATTTACTAATAAATAATTATATATGGAAAATATATATGAATAATTAATAACTTTTTAATAGCTTTGATTTTGCCGTTCACGTTGATCTGGTTATTTCATACTGACCTACTTACAACTTTTTTATTAAATCAATATATAAATTGGTCTTGGACTACCATTTATAAGTATTCTTTCAGATTTATTTGTAAACCGTTATTCAATTATTCTAAGCATGAGCTTTCAAATTCGTCATTAAAATAGTTTAGATTTGGATTAAAATTATTTTCATTTAATTTATTTTAAATCAGTAAATAATTTTTCCTGTGTGGACGCGATCCTTTAACTAAATTTTTCTGTCAATATTCTAAGGGTTTGTTTTTGCAGTCCGCAGTCCATGAATTAGTTTTCTCCTATCTTCAGTCTACGAGTCTGTCTATGTAGGATGTAGGATAGCTACGTAGATCCTACACATCACACCGTAGAGTTTATGCATCGCTACGTCAGGTCTACAATAAACTAAAAAATCGTTTTTGCTTCCGAAAAATCGGAAGCTCGTTTTTGCTGACGCGGCGATTTTATTATTGACACGTCTTTCTACTGAGTGTGCTCGTTATTCTTTTGCGGCGTGCCACTTGCTTGACTGGCTGCACGTAGTATTCGATCAAGCATAAGCGTAATTTTGATTGTAGCCACAGCAGCCGTTCCGTCTTGGTCTTCGCCTAACCTTATGGAAACGGCCGAGGGATGGAGGGGAGAGGACGCGGGTGCCTGAGTTGCTCGACTGTTAACAACAGGAAGAGGACAGTTAGTTGTTCTTCGTGTGAGGGATGTTACCATCTCTCATGC